GAGGTCGCGCACAGCACGCCTCGGCGTTCCGTCACGGGCTCGCTGAGCTGCGCTGCGCATGCTCGGGCGGAGACACAACGGCCACGTGGTACGCTCATGACCAACCGCCGTGGGGTCTGGGCCTGGGTGTGTCTCCGCTTCAAGAAGCCAGCCTTGGTGCGCCTGCGCAGTGATCACTACATGAGGGTGTGCGAGAGTGGCGCCTGCGCCACAGCACGCCTCGGCGTTCCGTCACGGGCTCGCTGAGCTGCGCTGCGCATGCTCGGGCGGAGACACAACGGCCACGTGGTACGCTCATGACCAACCGCCGTGGGGTCTGGGCCTGGGTGTGTCTCCGCTTCAAGAAGCCAGCCTTGGTGCGCCTGCGCAGTGATCACTACATGAGGGTGTGCGAGAGTGGCGCCTGCGCCTTGAGTATGGGAAGGGGCTTGAGAAAGTAGAGAGGCTCCGGTGCTCCAAAGCGGAGTCCCTGCGTTTGTCGCCTCCTGTGGTCGGGAGAACTACGGAAAGGAAGACAGTCCGGATTGCCTGTATAAAGACTGCAGGAGTCCTCCCCGTGGAGGTTGGAGCTAGGCAAAAGTAGGAGACAAACACGTCAGGGTTTTAATAGTCTCATAGCTAACTCAGTTGTTCCCATGGTTACCTCAATGCGCTGAAAAGCACCCTGGCCAACGCGGCCAAAGGGCTGTGGAAGTACCTCAGTTGGTAGGAGTGCTTACCTAGCTTGCACAAAGCCTTGATCTTGTATAAACTAGGTGTGTGCAGTACGTCTGCAGTCCTGATTTGAGCACTTAATGATTATGCAACCCTAAATGAAGATTTTTCACCGAGTTCTAGGTTTTTGTTTTTGTTTTTTTTTTCATCTTTGAAATAGAGCTAATAATACCTTTTCTATAGGGCCGGTGTACTGAGAGTGCAATGAGAGTATTAAGTTGAACTGTATGAAACTGCCATTTTTGTAGGATGTAAACCCAGAGTAACTGGAGTGGGAAGTACACATTGTATGATTTGTGTTACAATCTTTCTGCTTTATGATGGCTCAAAAGCAACACCCATTTTGAATTTTTCCTGGGCTAGCAGTACATACTACAGTCTCCTGCTAGGGGCATCAGGAGTGTCCAGTCAATCACAGATCAGTACAATAAACAGGACTGGGGATTAGCTCAGTGTAGAGAGTTTAACATATAAGAGGCCCTGGGTTGACCCCAGCACCTCAGACAGTTACACTGTGATGCTCAGAAGGTTAGGTATATTAAATATGTTTACAATTTTCCATATTTTGGCTTGAATAGGTAAGTTGAAATAAAAAATCTTAAGTTGTGGGGCATCTGCAGTCTATAAATGGAAGCTGTTATCATGGTTATCTCTATGGTCGGCCTCTTTTGTCAGTCTTGGGCCTCTCACATGCCCCTCTGTTTGTTTAGTACTGATAGAAAAGCTTTAAACTCAATCTCCTTTCAAAATCCACCTTTTTGTCGTGTGTGTGTGTGTGTGTGTGTGTGTGTGTGGGTGTGTGTGTGTGTTTGTGTGTGTGTGTGTGGGTGTGTGTGTGTGTTTGTGTGTGTGTGTGTGTGTGTGTGTGTGTTTGTGTAGGTCAGAAGACAACTTGCCAGAATCAGTTTTCTCCTTCCATCATATGGGTCCCAAGAATCAAACTCAGATCTTTAGGTTTGGTAGCAGGCACTTTTACCTACTGAGCCATCTTGCAAGCCCTCTAAGCACTCCAGGTTTGTTTTTCCTTTAAATAAGCCAAGCTGTTAGGAGACAAGGTGATTCAACTCACCAATTGACAGCTGTTAGATCCTTCCCTGGTGTCCTGGCTGTCCTGAGCAAAGGACTCAGTAGCCAGCTGGACTATCCTCATGCCAGCACCAACTGCTTTGAAGGTCCATGGACACTTTGAAGAAGCTACAGGGACTTGCTGCTGAAGCACAACTCCAGCTCCAGAAGGCACTGTCCCAGCCACGACTGTGCCAAACAGCTTGTGCTGGACCGTTTTGCAGTCACAAGCCTGGTGAACTCTAGATGCCCTAGCAGCCATTTTCACCCAGGCCAGAAGGGGGACGCTTTTTCTGGTGACCAAGCAAAAAGGCCTGTGACTAGGTAAACACAATCCTTCATTCGCATGAAAGACAGTGTCCTGATGGGCACAAACCAAATTTCCACGAAGGTCTGCCATGATTGGTAGGACCCTTGCACACTGTGCTCTCCCTTTCTGGCTATATTACCAGATAGTTCAACTCACTTTTTGAGTCAGTTGGAAGTCACTCTTTTGTACTGTCCCCTAGTGTTATAACATGAAGCCCAATAAAATGTATTCCCTAGAGTGATCTTTTCTTGCTTATGTTTAATCTTTCTCATCAGTAGAGCAGGATGAGCTGGCAGCATAAAGAGGCTAGCAGAAGCAAAGGTAGCAGACACTGCCCCAGCAGCAGCTGTGACAAGAAAGTGGCTGAGGAGTTCCAGAGAGCAGCCAGAGGCACAAAGACTGTGGAATATAGGCCGTAGAGACAAGAGACAGCAGACATAATGGGAAGGTGGGAGAGGTTGGAGAGGGTAGAAAGCTAAGGTTGAAGAAAGACAGAAGTCCGTGGAGAGCCAGAAAAGAGAAACTGCAGGCTCTGGTTGTTGGAAGAATTCCAGGGAGCTGCCAAGCCCTAAGGGTCTAAGGGGCTCAGATATCCTAGGCCCAAAAGTTATGGCACTTAAACACTGTCAACGGCGGAGGGCTTCCACCACCAGAGCCTGTACAAGAGCTTGAACCGTAGCCAGCACAGCATCCTGATGCTTGCTTCTGTCTGTTGCTGAAAGCTGTGCATTGCAATAGCTGCCACGTGCTGAGGTTGCTAGTGGTTAAAACTCAAGTGATAAGCCTCCAACCTGAATGATTACAGCCATCCTAGCTCTCAGTGTTCGGAGCTACTAAGTGGTTCAGCCCTCCAGGTCTTGGACACCCATGGACTTGAGATTGTCAGCACTGGAATTTTCTCCTTGGAAACTCATGATTCCCATACAGGCAGAATAAAAGACCCCATAGCCAGCTAATGTCAACAGTCTTGGGATTTGTTACATATGATAACTGAATAAGTAAGGGATAGACTTCAACCTCAAGAGTACAAAAAGTAATAGTAGTTGAGGAAAGAATTTGCCTTACTAAGACAGTTCATGACCAAGCGTCCTCTGACAGCTTGAGAGCCATGCATGTGTGGGAATGTGTTTTGGTTTTATTATTTTTATGTTATGTGTATGAATGTTTTGTCTCTGTGTATGTAAGTATTACAGTACAATGCCCATGGAGCCTTGGAAGAGGGTATCTGGTCCCCTAGAACTGGAGTTATAATTGTTGTTAGCTGCCATGGGAACCAAAGCCAGGTCCGCTGCAAGAACAGCCAGTGTTGTTAATCAATAAACCATCTCTCTAGCCCTGGGCTCATGTTTTTGAATTCTTGGATTTATTTTTATTTTATGTGTATGTGCTGTGCTGGATAACTTTAGTTATCAATTTGACACACCTGGGTACAGGGAGCTTTAATTGGGGAATTTCCTCCATTGGACTGGCTATGACCAAATTTGTGGGGTATTTTCTTCATTGTTGAGTGACGTGGGAAGACCCAGCCCACTGTGGGTGGTGCTACCCATGGGCAGGTTGTTCTCTATTGTATAAGAAAGCAGGCTGAGCAGGGTCCAGGAGAGCTAGCCAATAAGCAGTGTTCCTCCTTGGCCTGTGCTTCAGCTCCTGCCTCCAAGTTCCAACCCTGAGTTCCTACCTTGGGCTCCCTCATTGATGAACTGTGACCCAGGAATGCAAGCCAAATAAACCCTTTCCTCCCCAAGTTGGTATTGCTCAGTGTTTTGTCACAGCAATTAAAAGCACACTAGAAGATGTATGTTTTGTCTGCATGTATATATGTGTACCACATGTGTTTCTGGTTCCCACAGAGGCCCAAAGAAGGCATCAGATCCCCTGAAACTGGAGTTAAAGACAGTTGTTAGCTGCCATGTGGGCGCTAGGAACTGAACCCAGGTCCTCTGTAAGAGCAGCCAGTGCTCTTAACCAATGAGCCATCTCTCCAGCTCCAAGTTTTGAACTCTTGCTACCCAGCTCATGGCACTGTTTTAAAGGCTGTGGAGACTTTAAGAGGTAAGCCCGGCTTGTAGAAGTAGGTCACTAAGGGAAGGCTGTACACACCCTGTTTCTGGTCTGCTTTCTCTACCATGTGAACAGCATCATGTTCCCACTATTGAACAGAGCTGCCCCCACCACTGTGCCTCCCCATCCATGGTGGACTGAAATCTCTCCAAAACCATGAGTCAGATATAAACCTTTTCTCCCTTAAGTTGTTTCTGTCAGGTGTTTTGTCTTAGTTCCAAGAAAAGCAACTAATGCAAGGATAAAGGAAATCACCCAGGTCTGCACATTTGTGAACAGGCATCATCTTATATCAGTCAAGCCCATTCTTTGGGAATTGTGCTTTCTATATCCACACTCCAGATCATAGGCCCCCACAACCATGTCTGTCTCCTGAGACTCCTGGTCCCTGAGTTGCAGTTAACCAAACTTGAGTAGATTCCAAATCCATACTGCCTAAGCAGATGTTCTGTTTGGGGGTATGAGATTAACACTGAGAGACTTTGATTCCTACTGAACTCCATCCTCCTCCCACCTATTATGAGGAATGAGAATAGAGAAAGGCAGTCTGTCAAAGACAGTGAAGGCTGGAGACATTAGAGGTGGTGAAACTATTCAAGTTCCTGTCAGCTTCCTAGCCCTTTCTCATGCCCTCTGACCTGGGGGTGGGGGTCTATCTAAAATACATTGCTTAAGCTAATTTAACATGTACCCA